GGGTTTCATACAAATATGCACAACAAATATTTACTATGCAACTACCCTTTGCCACACACACTATTCTAAGCACTGTGAATATACAACTGAAAGAAACAGATAAAAAGTTTCTGCCCTCATGGAGTTTACATTCTTGTAACACAGCATAAAGGCATTTTCCAAGTGCTTTACACATATTAACTCATTTAGTCTTCACGATCCTTGTGAAAGACTTAGTATCTCCATTACAGAAATGAGAAAACCAAGGATCAATAATGAAAAGTAATTTGCCCAAGGTCACAAAACAAGTGGCAGAACTAGCCAGAAGTCTGAGTCTGAATTCATACTTCTGACCACTGCGTGCTACACTGCCCTCTGCTAACTCTCCAATCTCACATCTTCCTACACTTCCTGAGCATACTAATGCATGAGCCACTGCACTTGCTGTTCACTCCGCCTGAGATGTTTCTCCCACAGATAGTTTTCCTGCCTTCCTCCTCCTCAATCTGTTCCTTTCTCTCCATTCCCATCATCTTATAAGAGATTTCTTCCTTGATTACCCTTAAAAATGAACACCTCCCACCACACACAATCACCATTCATCTGTTTACATTATGTTTCTCCATAGCAATGAGTACACCTAAAAGTTTGTGTTCATTTGCTTTTTGTCTGTCTCTGCCACTGAAATGCCCACTTCATGAGAGAGCAGAGACACTGTTTAGTTCATCATTTACCTACCTCCTGAAACAATGCCTAGCAAAATGACCATGTATGAGATCATCTACCTGTTAGCTAGGCTTATTCTAGCCAAAAAAACAACAAACAAACTTAAGAGTAGTGATTCTCAAACTTTAGAATGCATTAGAATCATCTTAAAAGGTTTGTTAAAAGAGCAGATTGCTAGGCCTTACCCCCAGAGTTTCTAATTCAACTAGTCTGGTATGGAGCTTGAACATTTACAAGTTCCCAGAAGATGTAGATACTATGATCCAGGGATCATGCTCTGAGAACCACTGATCTAGACAATGTTACACTCCAACACAACTGCCAGCAACCATAGCTTCACAGCAATGTGTCATAACTGGCAGAAGGAGGAAAGGAATATAGTGAAAAAGTGCCCTCTAGACTCGAGCCCTGATTTAGAAGACTGTATGGAACATGTCTTTCAAATAACACAGAATAAATATCCCTTCCCTGGACAGGATATTGAGTGAGAGAGAGAGAGAGAGATGGAATCAGACTGATTAAGGTTATATTTTCTCTCTGTCAAGGTCTTACAATCTTACGTAGTCTATGTTAATGATTATTGCTGAAACTTTATCCTTTAGGATTTAAACAAGCAGAGGAGAAAGCTGACATCCTTTAGGGGATACTAAAACACCAAACAGTAGCAGACAATTGGGACGGCTGCCCAAATCACAATTTCCCATTTCTAGGAATAATCCCCATACCCAGGGTGGGCCCACAGTGGTCATATCTAGGTTATGGTAAGTAATCTCACTTCCCCTACTCATGGCAGACTGGCCCAAAACACACACTCTCTTCCAAGAATCTGAAATTTGAAGATAAAGTCTGGGAGACACTGATGCCCAGTTACATGCAAGGTTCTTGACAGAAAAGGTCCACAAACCCCTGCTGCTGAAGTTTTCAGAGATGCCCTGGTTCCTAGCTTTACATAAAAGTTTTGTTCTCCATCTATTCTTTTAATTTCTTCATATTATACAATAATCTTCCAATCAACTTTTCTTTTGCGTACATTATCCAGAACTATTTGTATATTTGCTACCAAAAATACTTATAAAAATAGAGGAAATGTATAGGCTTTAAAGAAAATTGTATTAGAAATGCAAATTGTGAAATATCAAAGCTTTTTTCCATTAATTAATCTTAAGACATTTATTTCCCATTTGCAGACTAGTATTCTGTCCATATAATCAATGAATCTTAGAGCACACATCACATTTTTGACATCATAATACTAACTCTTCTTTCCTTTGCTTAAAGAAAAGTCCTCTGAAACCTAACAAAAAAAGCCACCATTTTTCCTTTATTTATTTAATGGCCTATTGTGTGCCAATATTATGGGGGATACAGTGAATAACAGTGGCAAGGTTCTTGTTTTATGTAACTTATATTCTGCTAGGGGGACATGAAAAATAAACAAGCATCACCAGAAAAATACCAGATAAGTACTAGTGCAGAGAAAATACCAAGACTTACGTGAAACACTGAGTAGCCAGCTCAGTGTCAGGGACACTTCTCTGAAATGATATTTAAGCTAAATTCTTAATGACAAGAAGCAGCCAACCAGTAGAGATAAGAATACAACTAACATAAAGGCCCTAGGGCTGGGAATAGACTTGACTTGTTCTAAAAGCCAAAAGAAGGCCAATGTGGCTACAGTGTCCTGAAGAAGAGGGAAAATTATTTAAGATGAGGTCAGAGAAATATAATGGACCATATCATACAGGGGTTTGGAACAAAAGGCAAAGAATCTGGATTTATTTAGAAATTAACTGATATAGGACAAGGTGGCTATTTGCAACAAGATGCTTACAGAGAACAGCTGAGCAATGGACTAAGACGGGAAAAAAATTCAGATTACAAACAGTAGTTTTGATAAAAATTATAGAGCTAAAAGGAACACAGTCCAACATCCTCATTTTACAGAAAGGATGATGTGGCCCAAGCTGTGACTTCTCACAGGTCAGATTAAAGATGAGCAGAGAGTTGTAGTTAGTACTCTTTGATACTCAGGCCAAAGCACTTTCCATAGTTCCTGGCCTCATTCTGAAATCCAAAACAGTCTATACCATGCATTTCCAAAATGAAATAGTAGCAATCAAATGGACCCATTTAGAAAGAACTTTTTTAAATTATACATGCCCAATTATTTACATTTCCAGTTCCTCACATGAACTTTTAAAAAAGTGGCTGACAAGGCTTAAGTATTTACCACCAAATATCTCTCTTCCCAAAATACGTGAAGCAGAAGAAAATTGAATAAAACAACAAAATATACTTACATCTGGGTATTCTTTTACAGGCACATAAAGTTTCTCTTGTAACTGAACAATAGGTCCCACAGCATCAGGCAACTCTGCACTCCTTTTCTCTGTACTGCCATTTAATGTGTCATTGTACATGTCTTTCCGTACTCTGCTAATTTCTGTTAAAAGTAAAAATTTTAAATGTGTTAGACAAAAAAAAATATTCTTGCTAATCCAGGGGGGAAAAAAGAGGGCAGGGAAGGATTTCATTGATAAAGTGTTAAAACTCAAGTAAGGAGCTACTGATCTACGTATGCTGTCATTCTCTAGATTAAGCCCATGTTTAACAGAACTATAGCTTTAATTAATTTCTACCACAGATCAAATTTATATCAATCAAATAACATATCTTATTAAAACTAACTTCAGAACCTGAGCTCT